AGTCTAGCCAGGGGGTGAGATTTCATCCTGGGCAAACATCAGAGGCACCTGTTACAAAGTCTTCTCACTTCCGCAAAAGAGAAGACCAGTAAGATTCATGTCTGTGGTCACCATAAAAAATAGGTCATTTCCAACAGGTGTTCACATATGACAGGGTAGATTCTGTGTCACTTTGTCTCCGTGGTAAATTTGCAAGTCTGTAAGCTTCTCATGGCCATCCCAAAATGGCTGCTATGGAGGACATGGCAAGGCACAAAGACCTGTTTCCCACAAAACTAAAAGCTTTCCCTATCTTTCTCTAACCTCAGCACAAACATCCTCTGGCAATACTATTTTTTTTCCTCTTGTCCCTTGTAATAATAAAGTTAGTTTAGTTTAGAAAGAACTTGAGAGACAGGCAAAGAGATGCTGCCTAGTCAACCTTCCCAGGTAGACCAGACAGGAAACACAAACACATGAGCTAATTCTCCACCCCTGGGGACTTAAGTGATGCTGTGGGCATACTAAGTCCGTGGCTGGAGACTGTGAGGATCTACATTTGGCAGGCCCCAGGCGGTGGGGATTTTCTGCTGTGGTACCTATGGTGTGGAATCTTCTCCCCCTTAAGGTGTGGTTGACCTCATCACTGTTGAGCTTCCAGAGGTCCCTTAAGACTTGGTTAAGCCAGCAGGCCTGGGGACCCCAGGGGATGAGGGAAGTAGTGAGGTGGCTCCCTTATTTTTAACATCTTTTTACTTTCTGTTGTATTTTGTTTTTTACATTTTTAATGTATTTGACTGTTTTTAGCTTTGTTGTACGCCACCCAGAGTCGCCTGTGGTGAGATGGCCGACTATAAATTTATTCTTTAGACTTAGGTTTGACCAAATGAAGGCAGTGATTTGTCCTTGCTGTTCATTCAATGTTTTATCTTCAACCCTTATTGGAATCACTTGAAATACAAAGTTAAGACTGGGTAAAATATTCATTTTCCTTTTGTTCTTCTTCCTATGCAGGACATGTTTAACTTTTTCCATCATAAGATTTCGGCCATTGTATTTTCCCAAAACTATAAATGATTATTCTTGAAGAAATCTTTATTAAAATTTGTTAAATAAATTTCTAGGTACTGAACTCATTTTATAATAATATTAAAGTGTATTCTTTACTGTAAATGTGGCTTTCCTCTTCAGGTACAGTCCATGTAATCCTCTCTGTGTTGTTCTTGTTAATCTGATATCCTCAGATAGAACCGTGTTGCTGTATTAATTCCATTACTGGTTAAAAAGAATACATTGGATGAGTAACTCTGAATACAATATTGTTGGCATATAATTCTAGTTTCTGTTCTTGATTTGGTACTTTGATTCCCAAAATTTGCTTCCCTTCCAATGCCTCCCTTACCAATGGCTCAAATGAAAGTAGGAATAAGGAAGGAGAGAGGGGACTCATTTCTCTT